TGCTGAGTCAAATATGACTCATAGCAAGCCCATAAACAAAAGACCTGAAGCCATTTTGTCATTTCTCCAAGTTTCATAGAGTTTCCAGAGGCATTTGGTTTACGAAGTGGATACCATTCCTGCTTCCAAACCTGTCTTAAATTGAGAGTTCCACCAAACACTGTCCACCATAGGCAGGTGTTATGGCATTTGACCCCCACAATGGTACAAGGTTCAGTATCACAGAAAACTCAGATTGCCTCAGTACAGCAAATTGAAAGAAAAGTGCTATACAACTTAGGAGAATATTTCTCCAAAATATAATAACATGAGGCCAAAATATTTTTTCATTTAATCAACATTATATACAATGAACTTTAAAAAAGAATAGTTCCTCTCACCTTTAAAGAGTTCAGACTCTAGTGTGGCAAAAAAGACAAATAGTCAAATTCCACTCATAACTTTACCTTACTATTGTTGTTAAATGCTGGCAAGTCACTTGAGACTCATAGGAATCCTATGTGTCTATCTGAACCCTGCTCTATCTTGAGCCAGTTTCATTGTTTCAGACATACCTAACCCTATAACCCCAGTCACTAAGTCTATCAATCTCATCCAGGGTTTTTATCTCTCTTGCTGTTCCTTCACCATTCCAAGCACATATTAACAACTGTATTGCTGAACTATAGTACTTACAAGAGATTAGATAGTACATTTTTTAAATAATAAATATGTAACTCAATACATCAAAAGGATAAGTGTAATAAAATGTGTTAATGCTAACTATCATAATGAAATTGAAAAAATTTGAGTCCAAAAATTGGAAATTTTTATATATACAATCTCTCAGTTCAATATTGTTAATGTAACTCTTAAAATTATTATGAACATGATATAGAAAAATTCACAAATATTCCAATCAAAGTTGAGGAAAAACAAAATACAAAGTTGAATGTCCAAATTATAATACTGAGAAGAATGAGAATCCCAGAATAATTTAACAGTTCTCCTGAGAAAGCTAAACATAGATCAAGAAGCAGTTGTTTGAACAGAACAAGGCAACATTGTATGGTTTACAGTCAGGAGAGGTATGAATCTGGGTTGTATCTTTTCCCTATTCCTACTCAGTCTACATGCTGAACAAATTGTTCAAGAAACTAGAATATCTGAAGAAGAATGTAACATCAGGATTAGAGGAAGATTCATCAACTATTTGCATTATGCAGATGACATAACCATGCTTACAAAAAGTATTTACTTATTGAAGAGGAAAGAGTACAGCCTTCAAATAAGTGTTACATCTCAACATTATGAAAACAAAAATCCTCACCACTGGACCAATAGACAACAATGCCATGACTGATGGAAGACAAAAATTAAAGTCATGAATGATAACTTTTATTGGGATCTACAGCCAACACCCATGGTAACAGCAGTCCTAAAGTCAAAGAAATGTTACATTGGGAAAATCTGCTGTCAAGAAACTTTCCAAAGTGGTAAAGGGCAAAGATGTCACTTTTAAAATTAAGGTCCATCAGATCCAAGCCATGATATTTTCAATTATGCGTCTGAAAGTAGGACAATGAATAAGGATGATGGAAGAACTTTGAAATGTTGTGTTGATGAAGAGTATTGAGTATTCCAGGGACTGCTCAAAAACCAAGCAGGTCTGTCTTGGAAGAAGTACAACTGGTGTTCCGCAGAGATCAGATGGTAAAACTTCATCTCACAGATTTTGGGCATGTGAGGAGACAATTCTTTAAAAAAGACATCATTCTGGGAAAGGTAGAAGGTCAGAAAAGAAAAGAAAACCCATGAAAAGATAGACTGACACAAAGACTGTAACAATGAGTTCGATTGTTCCAGAAATCATGAGGCTGACACACGATAAGGCAAGATTCAGATATGTTTGTGGGGTTGGTTACTATGAATTGTAGCAGACTCGACAGCACGTTACAAGAGAACAGCAACCAGATAGACAAGGCCCCCATAAATCTCTAAAGAACCACCTCGAAGAGGAAAAAGGTTATACCTTCTTTGCTATTTCTTAAAGCCTAAACCACTGTATGCTTTCAAAACATGTTTTTTAATTAATTAACTATTCCTAAAGCTTCATATAAATTAATGTAAAGGGCATATATTTTTTAGAAGAGAACATAATTCCAGTTTCATATAAGGAACTATGTACAAAAAGAAAGAAATAGCTGTGTAATTCAGAAAAATTAACCATTCAATAAAATCTTTTTTTAGAAGTCTATAAACTTAATGAGGTTTAAAAATGTTTCTTGCACATTATTCCCCACCCCTGAGAGATTGTTGCTGTGATTGTTCTTGATAGCCTTCAAGTCAAGCACAACTCAGCAACCCTATGAACAAAAGGCCTGAAGACTTTCTATTACGATCAATATTTATCAAAGTTCATAGATTATAGGAAAAGAATGCAATCTTTTTAAGTCTATCTTGAAACCAAAAATGAACATTATTAAATGTTTGGTGGAGTCTTATTAATTTTCAATCAGTGTGTATTCATTTATTCTTGTTATATTTTTCCAAAGGGTATTCTGGACCATTGAAGGAAATTCCTCCTGAAAGATTCAACACCACAGCTGTCCCTAAATACTATCAGTCTCCCTGGGAACAGGCCATAAGCAGTGACCCAGAACTTTTAGAGGCTTTATACCCGAAACTTTTCATTCCTGAAGGAAAAGCAGAATTGCCTGATTACAGGAGCTTTAACAGGTAATTTGAGTACCCAGGGTGATACTGTTGGCATGCAAAACTGGTTTTTCTGTCATTACAAAGAAGAAAATCCACTGGTCAAATATTTTCTTTTTTACTGAAAAGACTCTAAATGACAATAGAAAATTATTCATTAATATAGGCAGATTGAATTTTCTAATGTTATTAACATAACCAACTTTAGGAATATAGAGAGAATTCTGATGGTGTAGTCTCCAACAAGTTATACTGTTAACCAAAAGGCCAGGTGGTTCAAATCCACCAGTGACTCTGAGAGAAAATGTTGGGAAATCTCCTTCCGTTGTGATTTACAGCCTTAGAAAAGCAATGAAAGGTCACAATGAGTGAAAACCTAATTCTTTACTGTCAATGAGTTAGCGAGTAGGAATATATAATTTTGGGCAAGTCACTTAACTTCCATTTATGTTAATTTTTTCATGTAAATAAGAGGTTGAACTAAATTTCATTATGTGATTAAATATCACTGAATGCAGCATTAAACTACATAGTAGAATAAATTATTTTAATTTCACTAAAACCATTACAATATTAGGAAGCTCTGTTGGCTTAATGAGGGAGCTCTGACAGCCTAGTAGTCAGGAGTTGTGCTGCCAACCCAAAGTATGTGGTTTGAATCCATCAGTTACTCTGTGGAAGAAAAATGATCCTCCCATGCGATTTACAACCTCTTAAAACCTACTGGAGGATCAGCTATGGATCAGTTCTAACTCAACCACACATAGTAGCAACAACATAACCTCTTAACCCATTCTTGTGCCTTATAAAATAATCAATATTATTGGTACTTTTCTTTTTATGAGCAGTATTAAATGTTAGAAATGTAATCTCCATTACCAACCAATCAGAATAAGCAGTAGATGTTCATTGTGAGTCTGAAAACAGGTTATCAGTCACTGCATAGAAGACAAAGAATAAAATTACTTAAGCCAAGATAATTTGTCTTCAGGCTGAATTCCAGAGGGATGGCAAACTAGTTAAACCAGCAGACCTGCCTCTTTCCAGTAGAGACATAAAATAATCACACAGAACAGTTACACATGGACAATCCAAGCACCCTGAAGTCTAGGGGAAATGTGCAAGTTCAAATTGAAGCTGAAAATTAAAACAAGTCCATGAGAATGAAAATATGGTCTTGACTTTATCCTATATGAACTTAAAAAGTATCTCAAGAACAAGTTTGGGGCACTGAAAACTAATGATTAAAGATCAGAGAAGCTGTAGGATGACGTCAAGATATTATCTATGAATAGAGCAAAAGGTCATTAAAAAGACAGAAGAGAGAGAAAAAACAAAAATGGATGTCAGAAGATACTCTAAATATTACATAAAAGCATCGAGAAATCCAAACAAAGGGAAGATTTGCCAAAATCAAATAGAAGATTTCAAGGGGCAGCTCGAGAAGACAAAGCAAAAAATTATAATCAAATGGGCAAAGACTTGAGTCAGAGAGTGAAAAGGGAAGAATTTGCTTGGTATCTCTCAAGCAGAAAGAACAGAAAACCAAATTTAAGACTCAGGTTGCAAAATTTAGAGATGCTAAGACAAAATTTTGAATGGTCAAGAAAGGATCAAAAGAAGATGTAACAAATTCATAGAATCATTATGCCAAAATATTGGTCAAAAAATGAAAAATTCCAGGAACTACTATATGAATAAGAGCCAATAGTAAAAAAGGAAGAGGTTCAAGCTGAACTGAAGGCATAGGCAAGAAATAATGCCCCAGAAATTGATATGATACCAATTGACATATTTCAACTGAGACAGTTCTGGATGTGCTCACCAGTTTATGCCAAAGAAGCTGGAAGACGGCTGACTGGCCAACTGACTGGTAGAGATCCATATTTGTTCCCATCCTGAAGAAAAATTATCCAACAGAATCTGGAAATTATTGAGCAATAACATTAATATCACATGCAAGCAAAAATTGCTGCAAACAACCCAAAAATATCTAAAGCAGTACACTGTTGGAGAATTGCCAGAAGTTCAAGTTGGATTTAGAAGAGGCAGTGGCACAAAGGATATCTCTCATTGCTGATGTTCATCTGTTTTCTATTGATATGCAGTTGACTGTGTAGATCATAAAAAATTATTACTAACACCGAGAAGAATATGAATCCCAGATCACTTAATGGTGCTCATGTGAAATCTATACCTAGATCAAGAAGCTGTAGTCCTAATAGAGCAAAGGAACACTGCATGATTTAAAGTCAGAAAGGATGTGCATTAGGAATGTATACTTTCTGTACCTATTTAATTCGTATCTTGAAGCTGGACTCTGAATAATTTGGTATCAAGATCAGAGATAAACTTATAACTACTTGCTTTATGAAGATGACACAATCTTACTTGCTGAAAATGAGATAGACTACAGCCTTCAATATGAATTATGTCTCAACATTAAGAAAACAAAACTCTTTATTACCCGGCCAATGAGCGATATCAAGATAGATGAAGAAAGAATTGACATTCTCACAGATTTCATCTTGTTTGTATCAAGAATCAACACCCTTGGTACCAGTAATCAGATCTGAAGTATTGCATTAGGTAAATCAGTTGTCAAATATTCCTCAAATTATTGAAGAGTAATGATATCACCCTAAAGATGAAAGTGTGCTTGATTCAGACCATGGTCTTTTCAATCACTTTCTATGCATCTGAGATCTGGACAATAAATAAGGTTGAGAGAAAAAGTGATAATTTTGAGTTGTGGTGCTGGAGAAAAAATATTGAATATCCCACAGATTTGCATAAGAATAATCAAATATATCTTGGAGAAAGTGCAGCCAGAGTGTTCCTTGGAGGCAGCGATGGTGAGATTCTTTCTCTCATACTTTGAGCACGTTGCTAGCAGAGGCTGTTTCCATGCTTGTAAAGATTAAGCGTCCGTGAAAGAGAGGAAAGAAGACCCCCAACAAGACTGACAGACACAGTGACTGCAGCAGTGGACTCAAGTGCTCAGAGATTATGAAGATGACACAGGATAGTACAGGGTTCAGGTTTGTTGCTCACAGAGTTGCTATGAGTCATACATGATTCTATAGCACCTAACAAGAGCAGCAGCAGCAGTGAAATCTTGGATGAATTCTTGGTAATCAGTACTGTGAACTGGCCTAGCAGAGGTATGAAGAACGAAAATCTTACAGGCACATAGGGGATCACCACAGAAAATGGTGGTCCTCTTCTCCCCACAAATGAATGTGCAAATGTCTTAGTGGACCTCCATATGAGCGAGAGAGATGCCTGGATGACCTGCCCCAGGAAAGAAAACCCTCCTCTTCAGAGCAAGCAGCCCAGCACCATCTTGAGCCTTGTGGGGAGACAACCAGAGCACAATAAAGCTGTCTTGAATTACATACACACAAGAAAGGGTAACACATCTGTATAGGGTGAGAACCTGATTTGTTGATTTTGATATAAAGAGTTGCCCCTTTCACAAAAACTATGCCCACTGACATCACCTGAGAGCTATGAGTTCGGATGTTGTTATTAGGTGTCCTCGAGTTGAGTATGCTTCAAAGTGACCCTGTGTACAACAGATCTAAACTCTGACCTATACTCTGCCATGTCCAATGCTGAGCCTCGTTAGGGGTTTTCCTCTCCTTTGCAGTCCCTCCACCTTTCCAAACGTGATATTCCTCTCCAAGGGATAATCATGATTCCATGGGATACTGACTAACTGACTTTAAAAGCCCAGGCCACACCCACTTCCAGAAGTAGACTCTTGTGACCTTGCCCTGTAGACCCACCCTACAGCTGACACCAGTCCTGTAACTTTGACTTCCCTTGTTGCCACACCTTAACGGTATACTGACAAGGGGATTTGCCTAGAAGCAAGGAGAACATAGAAAGTCAGTCTCACGAATTCAGGGCAAATGCTCAAAGATCCCCTCTGACAAGGAACAAAAGGAAAAACCTCAATGACCCCACCAGTGAGCAGGCTTGAGCACCTTCCTCACTGTGGATCTTACACAGTCCTGGACGACAGTGACCACACTCTCCAGTAAAACAAGAGTCAGTGTGCACATCAGCTAACCAGAGGTAGACTACAACCACCACAAACCACCCCCTAAAAATCTACACTGCACAGATAACAAACAGACAGACATAGACACGCAACTGCCACACAGACACACCAAGATGAAAGCTAAAAAAAAAAAAAATCAACAACAGCTCCACCTCAATGTCCCAAAAAGAAGCAGCAGGCAGCATCACACACCAAAGAAATAAAAAGCACTTCATCTAGGAAAAGAGACCAGAGCACAGAAGTAGTTAATATCCCAGATGCAAGAAGGCTAAAGGAATATCCCAAGGCATAATTCAGAGAAATAGTACTCAAGAAATTCCAAATGATGGAAGAAAGAGTTGAAACAACAAGCAAAGACATAGAAATAATAAAAAATATTATAAGACAAAACAGATAAAAAAAATAGGATACTAGAAGTCATAGAAAAACATGAAAATGTAATCCATAATAATAAGACAAACATTAGCTATCAACATGTGAAAAGGACAAAAAAAAGCAGAATGGAAGAAATGGAATACAGAATCGGAGAGAGAGAATACAAGACCTAGGAGGGAACCAACAAAAAAAGAACCATAAGAACTATGTGAGATGACATCAAGAGAAATAACATACATATAGCTGGAATAACATGAGCGGGAAGGCAGGTGGGAATTATAAAAACTTGTAGAAGAGGTACTAAAAGAAAACTTCCCAGGTATCATAAAAATGAGAACATAGACATCAAATAGCTATTGCAATTAACAATCTGGAGCAATACATGCATTACAAAGTGAACTGGGGGTGGGGAAAGGAAAATGTGTATCAAAGATTTAATAAAATCCCATCCTTTTTGTAATCTTTTACTAAAATCACAATTTTAACCAAAAACTACCAAGAAAGGGGTAAATAAAAAAAAAAATACACTTCATTCTTTTAATGTGAAGTTAGCACATAGGCATAATAGCACCAAGTTTGC